AGAATTGAGGGCAACTAATATGTGAGTTGCTGGCCTATTTCCTATGACAAGATGATCAAAATTATATTATTTATGAAATCAATTGGCTTCAAAAGAAGCTTCATCAACTACATGTAGTTCAGATAGGGTCTATCTGTGGGGAGTAAGGGTCTGGTTTCTTGCCCCTGGATCTAGATAGTAGATTGCTAGATGGGGGACAAGTATGGATATCCCTTCAGGCCTTATCAGTAGTCAGAGGGCTGTGGAATTTATAGAAATAAATACTTTTGTTTGACAGGTCATGGATGGCTATCAGCTCATAACAAGTTGATTTAGGCATATCATAACCAATGGCCCACTTAAAATTTATTATTTGATAGTGTTCATTTCATTGGGATATGTTTTGCATCAATCTTTGTACCAAAAGATGAGTGCAACAGAAGAAAAATTTATTGCCAGTTTTGATTCAGTGTTTCAACTTCAGCTCAGATCAGAATGAAGATTGAGTGTAATTTTAAACAAGGTATGGGCATTGATGGCACTATAGAGGATCAATGATAAAATTTCTGAGTATGCAACAGATGCAACATCTTTTCTGAGTATTCAAAAATTATTTCATTTTAACAGAAAGTGGGTTTCTCCAGTAACTACAGCCTCAGGCCATAAATTTCAGCAGAAAAACTTCAACTCTTACCTCTCCTTTTGAAATGTGAAGATTTTGATGATTCAGTAATTTTAATTCACCATGGAAAGATGTTGCAGTGTTGTAAATTGGTCACCACTATACAAATCTAATAAATCTTCAATCTGGCCAGAACAGGCCTTTCAAAGCTGTTTAGAACCTAAATCTATACACTTCCAGCCTTCATGGAAGTTATTGTCATCATGATCAGAATTAGAAATACTTTTGATCCAAAATCAAGACAAGAGATGTTTAATTTTGGGTCTCAAGGGGATGAAGATTCCAGACACCCCGGGGAGTTCTACATGAATCTCTTTCAAGATGAGACAAATTCAAGCTGAATGGAATCCAATTCTTGGGGGGTGAGAAGAGCAAGCTGAGAAACATTGACAGGAAATGGTACCTGGTAGATGCAGTGGGAGATAGGGTGAAAAATGGCAAAAAGATGCAAACCCAACCTGTCCCGTAGATAAATGGGTCAGGTTGGGTTGGGTTGCATCTGCAAACAGGTCCACCTCTTGTTTTTTCCCAAGATTAATATTGATTTGAGTGCCCTATCTTCCAAGCTCCAAATACCCCCGATTAAAAAGAAAGCTGAAGACAGAAAGATGGAGAGTCAAGAGAAACAGTTGGCTTGTCGCTCTCCAGATCACAAAGCAGAATCTTTGCATGGCTATTCTCACCTTGATGTACCAAATCAGATCCATCCTATTGGAGTCTGTCCCTCTTCAATCTTCCCTCCCCCTCCACATCAGGTATATCCATATCTTCGACTAGGCCTGAGCCGCTTTGGCACTATCATTCGCAAACGATGGTCCAGTGCGGTCCTGCACAGAAAGGTTTGTCAAAGAAAATAAGCTGACAGCTGGATCTCTTTGCATCCCACCTGGTTTCTCTGCCACAATTCCCACTAGATTTTCCGCCACACAATCCCACAATTGACCACTAGCTTGGGCGGCCATGAAAGCTCCAACATCCAGTTGACTCTGGATCCTCTCTTGAATTGGACCCTCCACCTACAGCTCCTGGTCCAAGTAGTCTAAGCTTTCCAATGCGCGTTCTACTAGCCCTTGTATGTGTCACTCATATATCTCAAACACCCACACCAGTCGCTTGGCAGCAGCAGAGGCTGTCAAGGCCTGAGTGTACTTGTCTATTTTATAAACCCCAGTAGTCTAAAAGACTAGTCCCAAAGTAATCAGCTCAAATCCCAAGTATAATCATCTTTTGAATATGACTTCCGGATAATGTGTTCAATCATAGTAGTGTCCATTCCGCTAATCATGTCACTGCAGACCACTGGCGGCAAGGTTATCAAAGCAAAAAAAAAACATCAAATCAAGAGCTTCTGAACCCTAAAACAACTTCGAGGATTCCTGGCGGCTTGGCTCAGTGGGCCTGACTTAACCCATACACCCTTCACCGCCAAAGTCAAGTCAGAAACCCCAAATCTGGGAATACCGCTTGAACCCACATGGAGGCCTCCCAAGTAAAAAAGTGGCAAGTTGAGGGTAGACGGGGGTTTGGATTTATTAATTCCAGCACCTGATAGACAGAGGAAATTCTGAACAACACGGCCCAAGGGTCTGGTTCACAGGGGGAATACGTCAGCCAATCAAATGTCTGAGATAAGAATGAGAAAGCAGTTGGTTGAGGGAGGTTTGCCGCCTGTTAGGCTGTAACAAGGATTGAGAAGACAGTTTTGGCTTCAGTTGGTGCTCACTGATTCTCCGTTTCCTGATGATTTTGAAGGTGATGTTATGGAAAGTAATGATTAGGATTATAGGTGCTGAAGACAGCTTGATGGTCAAAGGCTGTCCGGCTTTGGAATGCACGCTACGGTGTGGAAGGGAGAATATTTGAAATGGGTGTGGTGTAATCCCAACGGAATCAAGGCAAAAAGAAGATGACAGTAAATGAGAGACTGGAGTTGATTGGGCGATTGAATAAAATCATCATAAAATTAAAATTAAGAGCTTCCAAACAAGGCAAGAGACTGTTCAATCAACGATGGGACAAAGGAAGCCTCGCTCTTGAACAAGTTGACCCAATTGATATTGGCCAAGAACGGATGTGATTTGACCTCGGCTTCTCCTTGAGCTCCTAATCGATGCTTAGGATCAGAGCACATCAATTGCCTCAGGCAAAATATCATCATCCGATTTTGGCCATTCCAACCAGACCATAGCACGGTGGTATTCGACGTGTTTTTTGGGGCCCTTGAATACCAATTCGACGAATATTTGAGTATTCGGAGATATTCGATTGGTTAACTCCCGAGGATTTTGTTCTCTTTGACGGTTCTGGAGTTGACTTGGCTGAGGTTGGGGGATCGCTGGCAGGTGCCATGGTTGGTGGCCAAGGTCCGTAGTCAGCCGCGGTTGTCTGATAACCTGAGTTGGAGCCAAGCTGGGTATCTGGATATGTGATATCAGTGGCCCTGGTTGTGTATAGGGCGGTTAGGGGGTATGTATAGGGTCCCTGTGGCCCCATACACACTCTTTGCAACCTCCTGATGTCAATCTCTAAAATTATTCGATTTCAGTCGAATAATCGAGCCAAAAAATGAGCCAGCATTATTCGACTCGAATTGATTCGATTTGAGTATTTGATTTACTATTCGATTCAATGTGCTATGGTCTGATTCCAACCACTGTGAGAGAATCTTATCAAACACTTTATCCGGCGTCTTATAAACAAAAAAAGTTTGTAAGACTTCTCTGTCAAAGGCTAAGTCTATTTTGATTGATATTTCCTCACTTGTAACAAACTACTCCCAGAGCCAACTAAAAAAACACAAAGTTAATACTGGAAGCCCACCATACATACATAAAAAAACAAAAACTTCTTACCCAATCCACCATTTCATCCATCCCGATACCCAGGATATTTTCAGGTGCCAAATAATTGGGCGTGCTGACGAAATGTTTATGGCCGCGTCGGAGGCTTTACTACGATGCTGATGATTATAGCCTGATGTCCCATGGGAGCAGTGTCCCACTGCTGTAGCAGTGGGCAATGGTAGATTTTTGGAGCTTACAAGAGGCAAGAGAGGTGACAGGGATCAGAATTTTTGGAAGAATTGCTGGTGGGTGTGCCCAAGAATTCGAGCTCATGAGAAACACGGGTAGGGTTCATGGGCCAATTTGTGCGGGAAGTGAAGTACAAAGAGGTGGGGGCCATCGGCAACAGGTCGGGTGTCAAGGCCGCCGACCTCTGTCCCGGTTGCAAGCCCAGATTAGTTGAGGGTGTCAAGCTACTGCCGTCCAAGTTGAACAGCTTCCATTTATCGAGGTTCCCATTCCGCAAACTGCTTGAGAGACTCATCGGCCCTTGTGGCTCCACCGCCTGTCAGCCTAACATTCCGATCTTCAAAAGTCCGAAATCGGTCAGCTTCAGATGCCCCCAATGATCAATCAATAGATTGTCAGCTTTCAAATCACTTGATCATCCAAATTCAAATTCATCATCATCATCAGCTTTGGTATGCCTTTCTTGTGTGTATATATATATGTCTCTGATCTGACTCACCAATGGACGATGTAAGACTCAAAAGTGGCTATGAAACCCTTTTGCTGAATGGAGAAGGGTATGTTCACCAGGGGAAATTTCAGGGCACTGGCTTTCCAGTGACTGCAAATCACAAATAAGTCACCCTGGAAGATTTGAATTTTTTTGTAAAAATCACTAAAAGGATCATGATAAAAAATGGGACTCACAAGAAAGTCACTAGATTTTACCCAGAATTTACTACTAATTTCCCAGAAAAGAAAATGAATGTCCTCTAAAATTCCCTTTTGCTTACACCTAGTTTCCCCCCAAACATAAGGCTGCTGATTCAAATAAAAAATTAAAACCTGCTAATTGAATAAAATTTTCATGGCCTCAGCAGTTTTTTTGAAACAAATGTTACAGATTTGATTCACAATCAGATCAAGGGAAGCTCTTATTTTTTTGGTTTTGTAGCCCATGTAGAAATACATTTAGAACATCACAGAAATTCAACCATATTCAAGTTTGTGATTTCTCTTTCTAAATTCATCAATAAAAGATGCCAATTATATGTTTATCACACTAATAGTGTACACCTTAATCAGAATTATAAATCAGATTCAAATTTATATTGCAAATAATTCATTTTTTAGGGGGAAGGAATGAAGTGATTAATTTGATTTTGATCAATCACTCATTTTAAATAGTGTCATGACAAGTCCAAACCTGCTGGGTCAAGTAGCTATGTATACCTGGTATTCCCACTAAAAGATTGTGGAACAGTGACCAGGAAGTATGGTCTTGCAAGCCAGTCTGGACACAGGCCCAAGACCTGTGTGGCTGAGTGCCAATGGGGCTTGGGTGTGTGCCCAGGGGGCTTGATTTGGTAGGTCGTGCGGGGACTGAAACTTGGCACTAGCCCAAGTCTGGCTTGGCCGAACCCAAGCTCTGGGCTCACCAGAGTGCGGGTGGCAGACTGGGGGCCGGTCAAGTGTGGATTGGTGAGGTCAGCTTTGGTGCGGGTGGCACACTTGCTTGGGCTTGGCCAAGCATGCCTTGGGCCTGACCCCTCCAACTTGGGAGGTCCAAGCAAAGGTTGAGTTCAGAAGCGCACACGGCCTTTGGGATTGGCCAGCCGCTTGGCCTCTTTTTGGCCCAACTGGGCCTGTGCTCCCAGACTGGCTTGCAAGACCCATAGTACTGATCAGATAGCTAAATAGCTGGTTTTTTGTTGATTGGTCAGAGGATCGAGATCCTCCTGATGGGCAAAGCCCTTAAATGAAATGATCTGTGTTGGCCCAAAAATTCAAAAAAAACGTCAGTAAAAGTCAAAAAAAATCACCCAAAAAGTCCAAAATAAATTGGCAAGAAGTCCAAAAAAACTGTCCAAAAAGTTGAAAAAAAGTCCAAAAAGTCAAAAGAAAGTCAAAAAAAAGTCAAAAAAAAAGTCAAAAAAAAAGTCAAAAAAAAATTCAAAAAAAAAGTCAAAAAAAGTCAAAAAAAAATCAAAAAAAAAATCAAAAACTTGGTCAGAAACCCCAAAAAAACCAAAAAAAAAGTCAAAAAAAAGTCAGTAAAAAGTCAAAAAAATTGGTCAAAAAGTCAAAACAAATCACCCAAAAAGTCCAAAAAAAATCAGCTCAAACGCGCGTAAAAAATTCCCCAGAATTTTGTAAACAATTCTTCAGTATCTCAAATAATACGAAGAGAAAGAGGATCAAACATTCAACTAACACCGTTTTGAAGAAATATTCGACAAGGGATCATCTCACGGATTGATAGAGAGAAGGTGATTTTTTTCTGCTTGTGTTTGGTCGGTTCGCGAGAGACAATCGAGATTTTGGAGCGAGTGATGTAGCTCTCAGAGCCATCAGGTTGTCGAGGTTTGGAGTTTGTTCCCGAAGGTGGATCATTTTTTTGGCTTCTGGACGTGGGGTTTGAAAGGTTCTCCGAGTTAGTGAGTGGATACTATTGAGATGGCGGCGTTGGAGCTTCAATCAGGGCGGGCGGCGCACAGTCTCATGTCAGATTACGCGTAATCCGACATGAGACTGTGCTGCAGCAGCCCCTTCAGAGCCTCTGCTAACCCCCCTTGCAATAATTTTTGCTTGGTGTTGTGGTGGCGGGAGCGCGCCTTGGCCAAAGCTTTGGCCGGTTTGTTTGGGGCATGCGGAATGCTCGCGGCGCTGATGCGGAAAGCACGCGGAGCTGACGCTACACAAGCGGGCTGAGGAAAGCGGCCGTGCATTAGTGGAAAGTCTAGCTTTCCGAGGCGCGGGAAAGCGGAGAAAGGTAGACCGAATGCACAAGGTTCTGAAAAGCTTACTGCGGGGAATTCGGGCATCGGCGGACGCCGGGGATCACGGCCGACTGCGGAACGGGGGTTCAGTGTATACTGCGGAGAGGCTACAAAGAGCGGGGAGCACCGAGGGGCAGAAGCGGGGTTCGGAGCGGACCAGAGGCAGAAGCGGCGGTGGGAGACCTGCTTAGGAGCGGCCGGAGGAGTACTTGGACCGACAGGCGTCGGAGGGGTGACATGCGGAGTCCGAGGGGGTGACAGCGGATGACATCGCGGGAAGTAGGAAGGGACTGGAGTGTGGGATACCTAGGAGGAGAGGAGTTCGAGGCAGAAGAGGAGAGAGAGGGGGGGGAAGGAGGACTCAGAACATATCAGAAAAACAGAGTGACTTAGGAGTGAATCGTGTATTAGCCTAAAGAATTGTTAGAGATAGAGTAGAATTAGTGTATTACCTACAAAAGATCAATAAAAGAGAACTAGT